CAAAAGATTTTCAAAACTACTTAACTTTACAAATGCTTATTCATAACATTCGAATGATTGTGGCTTGACTGATAAAGTTTTCAGAATTTTGAAAAAATAATAATTGTTTCAGAAAAAAGTCACATATAAATTTTTTTATCATTTATTGTGCCATCTTCTCACTCAGATGGGTAGGTTGATAAAAATATATTCTAATAAAGAATTAGGATGAGAATTATAAAGAATAAATATCATTGAGATGTTTTCCTAAAAGTGGACACAAGAGGTAATATTGGAGAGTAAAATGTAAAAAATTCACATAAAGTATTTTAAATTTTCAAGTTGCTACGTGCAATTAGAAAGAATGGATTTTTTGGACCTTGAGGACATTATGCTAAGTGAGATAAGTCAGACAAAAGCCATAGATAAGAAAGACAAATACTGTATGATATCACTTATATGTGAAATCTAAAAAAGCTGAACTCCTAAAAACAGAGAGTAAAATGGTGGTTACAAGGGGATGAGGGGTGAGGGAATAGAACTGATGTTGTTTAAGGGTGCAAACTTGCAATGAGTAGTAAATAAGTCCTAGAGATCTAATGAACAGTATAGTGAATATAGACAACAATATTGTGTAATAATCATCAAACTTGCTGAGAGACTAGAATTATTCCAACCACTAAAAAAGGGATAATTACATAACATAACAGAGGTGCTTATTATTGCTACAATGGCAATCATACTACAATATATAAATGTATCAAATTAACATGCTGTACACCTTAAATTTACACAATGTCATATGTCAAATATATTTCAATAAAAAAATAAAAATTAGGGGCCAGCCCGGTGGCACAGCAGTTAAGTTCACATGCTCTGCTTCAGCGGCCTGGAGTTTGCTGGTTTGGATGCCAGGCGTGGACCTGTGTACTGCTTATCAAGTCATGCTGTGACAGGCATCCCACATATAAAATAGAGGAAGATGGGCATGGATGATAGCTCAGGGCCAATCTTCCTCAGCAAAAAAAAAAAAAAAAGAGAGAGAGAGAGGAGAATTGGCAGCAGATGTTAGCTCCAAGCTCATCTTCCTCAAAATAAATAAATAAATAAAAATTAAAAAATAAATGTAAAGAATGGATTTTTTTAAAGCCAGAGATTTAATATGCTATTATTACTTTATATGAGAGAAAACAGAATTTTAAAGTCAAAACTCTAATAGGGGTTCTGGTTAAAAATTTTTGCTTAGAATACATTTTGAAAGATATTGAGAATAATTTTAAAAAACGCTACATAAAATTTAAGTATTTTGGATGACTTTCATAAACAGGCAATGTTAAACCAAAAGAGACACAAACAACTCTTGAGCAGACTATATTTGCACATCAGTGAAATATATATTGAAATAACTCATCATTTGAGATACAAAAATGATCCCAAATATCAATAAAACAAGTATACTTAAAGGTTGACTTCAAAAGTTAGGACTTTGGTATAGAAAGCAAAAGGATGAGAAGGAATGAGTACCACTGGAGCTTAATAAATTCTGAAGACATGGGAAAATACCCAAGAGACACTGTTGGGTAAATATGACTAAATATAAAACTATACATAGCATGCATCCAATTATGACTAATATATTTACACATGTATATACATATATGCATAGAAAATAGATTAGATGGAAATATACTAAGATTTTACCAGTGGCTATTGCTGATTGGGTGGGATTATAAGTGATATATTTTTAAAAATAAGTTTTCTCTATTTTTCAAATTTTCTAAAATTACTCTAACTTTCAAAACTAAAACACATTATTTCATAAAAAGAGGAAATGAGAGGGAAATCTAGTACAAATTTGCATCTGTACAGCAAATAATGGAATACCAGAATCAAGATCCTCCTCTCCCCTGACTTGAAGGCTGAAGAAATGGTTTTAAAGACAAATCAAAGACCTCGAATAGCCAAAGGAATCCTGAGAAAAAAAACAAAGCTGGAGGTATCACACTCTGGATTTCAAAATATACTACAAAGCTATAGTAAACAAAACAGCATGACAGTGGCACAAAAACAGATACACAGATCAATGAAACAGAATTGAGAGCCCAGAAATAAATCCACACATCTGTGGACAGCTAAATTTCGACAAGGGAGCCAAGAACATACAATGGAGAAAGGAAAATCTCTTCAACAAATGGTGCTGGGAAAACTGGACAGCCCCATGCAAAAGAATGAAAGTAGACCATTATCTTACACCATGCACAAAAATTAGCTCAAAATGGATTAAAGACTTGAAAGTAACACCTGAAACCATAAAACTCCTAGAGGAAAACGTGGGCAGTATGCTCTTCGACATTGGTCTTAGCAGCATATTGTCGAGTACCATGTTTGATTGGGCAACGGAAACAATAGAAAAAATAAACAAATGGGACCTCATCAAACTAAAAAGCTTCTGCATAGTAAAGGAAACCATCAACACAATGAAAAGAAAATCCAACAATTGGGAGAAAATATTTGCAAAGCATATATGTGATAAGGGGTTAATATCCAAAATATACAAAGAACACATATGTCTCAACAACAAAAAAACTAACAACTCAATTAAAAAATGGGCAAAAGATCTGAACAAACATTTCTCCAAAGAAGATATACAGATGGCCAACAGGCACATGAAAACATGTTCAATATCACTATCAGGGAAATGCAAATCAAAACTACAATGAGATATCACCTCACGCCCATCAGAATGGCCATAATTAACAAGACAGGAAACAACAAGTGTTGGAGAGGATGTGGGGAAAAGGGAACTCTCATACACTGCTAGTGGGAGTGCAAAGTGGCACAGCCACTGTGGAAAACAGTACGGAGATTCTTTAAAAAATTAAGAATAGAACTTCCATATGATCCAGCTATCCCACTGCTGGGTATTTATCCAAAGAGCATGAAAACACAAATACATAAAGATACACACACCCCTATGTTCATTGCATCATTATTCACAATAGCCAAGACTCAGAAGCAACTTAGGTGCCTATCGAGGGACGAATGGATAAAGAAGATGTGGTATATATATACACAATGGAATACTACTCAGCCATAAGAAACAATGAAATCCAGTCATGTGTGACAACATGGATGGAACTTGAGGGTACTATGCTAAGTGAAATAAGTGAGAGGGAGAAAGTCAAATACGGTATGATCTCACTCATAAGTAGAAGATAAAAACAACAACAGACAATCACATAGAGACAGAGATTGGGTTGGTGGTTACCAGTGGGGAAGGGCAGGGGAGGTGGGCCAAAGGGGTGACTAGGCACATGTGTATGGTGATGGATTCTAATTGGTCTTTGGCTGGTAAACATGATGCAATTTATATAGAAATCGAAATATAATGATGTACACCTGAAATTTATATAATGTTATAAACCAGTGTTACTGCAATAAAAAAAGGCAAATCAAAAGAAGAACTACAAGGATACGTCATCCAAGTAGTACTCCTACTTGAGATTATATATAGAACTTGTGATAGAAAATACATATGTATATAGTACCTCAATAGATTTGAGAAAGGACTGGAGAAAATTCCAAGATGATCAATATTGGGTTATTAATGGAAGCTGAGGATGTATGTGATGGATACACACTCTTCGGAGGCTGATGTCATAGAAGGTTGTTATAGTCTTCGTGAAGTGTTTTTCGGTGTCACCACGAATCACAGGAGTGGATAATCATTGGCTGCTCTAGTATGGCATTTCTAACTCCAAAGCTTCTCCATAAGGAAACTTAAGTTACGAGTTTTTTTTTTTAACTAAGGCCTGCAAGAAAAGCCAGAACTACAAATGTCAGTCACAATTCAAAACTAATGTTCAGTTCTGGCAAAGGTCCGTGGTGTCATATATTCATATGTTGCATGTGTTATTATTCCTAGACAGACTCTTGAGTTTCTGTTTGAAGGTTGTGGCCCTTTAAACCTTTGATGAAATTAATGATACTTTTTGGCGAAATAGTTTTAAAGAATGAAAGCGTTACAAACTATTACATCAGATTGATATACCTATATATACATTCCTTGTGTTGGTGTGATATAATTCCGACTATATAAAATTATTTCAATCTCCAAAAAACATTTAATTTTTTTGTTGAAGAGAATAGCATTTATGTATTAGAGAAACAAGATGTTATCATTAAAAAGAGTTATTTTAAATGCCATTAATTCTTTAATTTTAGAAAGGCTACTAACTTTATGTTCTCAAATTATCATTACAAATAAAATTATGCTGAACATTAAAATGTGTGACAAAATAGATTATCTTAAGCAAAAGACTGTATATTTAAGTCATGCCAAAAATTTAAATTTTAGCATGAGTGGATTATTTTTAATTGTTGAAAGATGCGAGCAGAAAGAAGACCTTTTCTACTTACTTTTAGAAAAAATAAGTGAACAAATAAACCAAGTGAGCATATCTGGTAAATTTAAATTCACCATTTTTTCCTTTTAGAATATTTAATTCACTAAGTAGTATAATTAAAACCCAAGGAGAGTTTGTGAAACGTTTTACTTTCACTTAGAGGTGAAAATATTGGTGATAGAGCCAAACTCTAAATCTAAATCATAGCAAAACAAACAAAAACAAATAAAACCCACCACACACAGAGACACAGTATCTTAAGATTTTAGAGACCTTGAAAGCTGGCAAGTTTATCATTATAAATCTACTTTTCCTCAATATTTCCAGAACAAATTGCATTATGAAGTGCAATTTCAATTTATAGCACAGTTGAAATATAGTAGAAAGTTGGTTGAGATTCAAATTTCTTTGTCGGTTTAATTCTACTGGAAGGGAACACAAGGAATTTTGCCTAGAGTTTAAAATTGGATTTGGGGACCTAAAACGTCAGGTTTCTACTGATGAGTCAGGTTTGCGCTGACAAGCAGAGCAATTTAAATTAGGAGCTGGAAGTGATTTTTCAATAAGCGCTTCAAGGGTTTAATAAAAGACGTCAACGCTGCAAAAGGTACTTACTCTTCTGCTGAAGTCTGGCACTCAGCAGTGATGAGCTGCATGGAGCCACCTCCGTCTGGAAAGATTTCACCACACACTTGCTCTGAGATAGACACAAAACAGATGGAAATACTTACCAAAAAAAGCCATGCTTTGCTAATTCAGCCATTCAGGTTTCTATTTGGTGTTCAATGAAAAATTATCATTGGGAACTTTTCAAATAAGTCATCTATTTTTGGGCTTGCAAAGCAGTATAAAATAAAACTTTTTAATTTTATTAAGGACAGTTATTTAAAAGTATTCTCAAGGTGCAAATTAGCTGTATCTTTAATCTGCCTCCCTCCCTGAATACTTTATTGCTTTATTTTTGATTAAAAGCGATTTATATTATCACTTGTGGAGAAAAATATAAACAAAAGTTTCCAAGAATTAGAGTTTAATTTTCCATTCTTTGCAAAAAAGCTTTTTTAAGTAACAAAGTACATTAAAAAATTGTGGTGGTCACTTGCAAAAATAAATCATAAAAGCTCCTTGGTATTTCTGTTAGCCACTCTTTATGACAGATACTACTTTAAGAATCCCGTTTCACTTATATTCATTATGTTTTCAACCTTCTAAGAGAGTAGCATGTCCAAGGAGGGGCTGCCGGCGCCAGTGGGGCGGGGGCGGGCGGGTAGTGGTGCCTGGAGACTAGAGGGAGGAAAGGGTTGATTTCTCCCTGTAAGGTAAGTTATGAATTAATGCTTATGGCCCTTGATCCCTTTGAATATTTGATAGGATACTGATAATTACTTTCTTAAATGAATTCGGCATCAACAAAACTCCTTGAAAACAATTAATTTGTCCTATTGTCAAGGTATTGCTTATATAAGGACAAATTTGGGAAAGAAAAAACTTGCAAGTATACCACTGAAAGAAACCTAGACAACTCGATTCAAAGGATTTCACATGGTGCCTATTCAAATTTTTAATTAATAATAATAATAATAATAATAAAGTACAGGTAGATAAAACAAGGGCATGACCAGTTAGTTTTCCTTTTAGCTTTAGAAAAGTAGTCAACATTCAAGGAAATGATAACTGGTGCCCTCAAGGTGTGATGCAAAGGTAAAGAAATAAATCCCAATGATTTCCAAACAAATCAACCTCTCCACCCTAAGCCACAAATACTGATCCCTTAGGTGGTTAAATAAAAAAAAAAATATGCCAAGAGCTGGGCAATGCTCTTGTGTACATTCCGCAAGGAATCTACATTTCTCCCTTCAATAAAATAAGCACCTGGTTCACTTACCAGTCAATGTCTACGGAAAAGGGGGGGAAAAGCAAGATTAAAATCAACACTGGGCAGAAACAGAGAAGTCTTTCCTGAAAACCGTCCTCCAACCCTAGGAGCTCCAGATTTCTATAACTAACTGCACAGAACACTGGAGTTGCTGCAAAGTCCAGGAACATAGAAAGCAGAAGAAAAGATGACTCTCCCAAAGCAGGTCACTCTCCAGGTATTTCCTAGTCGGGACAGGGCGTTCCGAATAGGAAAAGAGACCGAGCTACAGTGACCCGTCCGATATTAGGAAAGATAAAAGACTGGGCTGGAAAAGCAATCACCAAGTACAAAGACAAACGGTGAAGCGAAGAAAGAGAGGAGCGGGCGGGACCTCTGTAGCCCGAGCGGCAGGCGCGCGGCGTTGGGGGCGGTGGAAGGAAGGTCCTTCCACGCGGCACCCAATGGCTGGCGAGGGAACCTGCCTTTCATAAGGTCCCAATCTAAATGAGGCTCCAGATGTAAAAGGAGCCCTTGGTCTCCCCTCACCCTCCCCCTCAACTCGGAAACTCTTCCCTCCAAAAATATCCCCTAACCTCCTTGAACCGGCCGCAGCAGCCATGTAATCCTATCCATCAGCATCCCAGCAACAGGCGAACTTAGCTCCAGGCCTGGCGGCCCCGCCCCACACCCTCCCAACCCCCGCCCCCGCCGCCCCCGCCGCCCCCGCCCCACCGCCGCCGCATGCTACTCGGCGCGTTCCATCCGGCCACCGCGTCGTCCGTGTGGTCTCCCAGCGCACGAGTCCCCGCGCGGAAGTCCTCGCGGAGGCTGTTTACGCCCCCTTGGCATCTCTAAGCATGCCAACAGCCGTTGGGGGCAAAAGAAAGGCACAAAGTTAGGAGCCACAACAGCAGCTGTTCCTACGAGGGGAGGGGCAAGAAGGAAAAAGAGGAAAAGAAAAAGAAGAGTGGCCTCCTGTGGCCTCAGCAAGGTCACAGACCCAGGGCGAACCCTGACAGGTCACCAGGTCAGGGGGAAGGGGATGGCGGTGGTTCCTTGGCTGCCTCCCCTCCCAGAGTGCTGAAAGAGACCCTATTCTTTCCCATCTTCCCCGTCTCTGCACTTATGCCCTTAAGTGTGCCCGAAACTCCTGGACTTCACCTTTGGGATTGGGCACGCAACGTTACCTAGGAAAGAACTGGGGTGGCGAACGGAGCTGCTCCCAGACCTCAGCGCCTTGAGTCAGCAGTGGGCACGGGACGACCTCCACGTGGCACGTCTCTGCTTCTGAGCGTTGGACAGGGCAAAGTGAGCCCCTCAGGCTGCCAGGTTGGAAGAAAGGGGCTCCTTGAAAAGCACTGTGCTTCAGGGAAAGTTAAACAACGGACGGAACTTTTTCTGCGGGCCCCTCTGTAGCCCTTTCGCGTTCTTCTCTAGTCCTTTGAGCCAAGGAATTAGGAGTGACTGTGGAGCAGCCCCCTTTTCTTGTGGCTAAGGGTTCTGAGACTATTGGGACTCAGAAAGTCCTCCCAGGTCCTTCCCAGATTTGTCCGGCACAACTGCCAGTCGCTGCAGCCTCGCCCTTTGAAAGAGAGACATCAAAGGACATTGACTCAGTGTGTGCCTGCCCAGGCCCGGGAATAGAGAGCCACTGCTCCAGAGTTCTTTGACAGCAGGACCGTTACCTCATTGTATCAGGCTATTCACTCATTTGCGCAGTCGTGGGACCCGCCAACCTTTTCTTCCGTTCTCTTGAGATTAGCGTTCCCAATTTGCAAACCTGTCTCCTTGTCCGTTTCATTGTGTGGATTCTGTTTCTTAAGGGTCTGCGGCAGCTGCGGCCCCGAATGAAAGAGGAAATTGCTGAATCATAGGATTGGACACAAGTGTTCACTAACAAAAGGATTTGTGAGAGGAAAGGGCAGGGGCACTTAAAAAACACTATAACTCACAATGAACGGTATGGCCAGGCTCCCTCTTCCCGGCCAATCCCCCATCCTCTCACATAAATTGATTTGAGAGTCTCCGAAGCCTGGCTGAGGCCAGAGTAAACAAAATGTCTTTAACAGTTGTAGGGATGCTAATGTTTGACAGGAGACAAATGCCAGGAGCTGAGTTTAGGGAATGGTGGTTCTCAGAGGGGAGTTCAGTCAACTCAAATCACTGCCTTTATTGAGAGTTTACTGCTGCTGGAATCAGAGAGAGGGATGTTGCTAGGGAGAGGTGAGATGCGTTCCCAACTGCCTAAACTGAGGCAACTTAGTGAAAAAGTGTGGGAGGTTAAAGAGTATCTGTGTGGGCAGCAAGATCTGAGACATCAGGTAAGCTGGAACAGCTCTGGGGAATGGAGCTGGATGCTGCCTGCCTCAAACAGACCAAGGTGGGACCAGTGCAAAGGGAGGCTGCAGGCAGAGCCAAGGACAAAGTGAGCTCACAGAGCACCAGGCTGGGACTGTGGGAATTGGGAAGGGGCAGCTAACAAGAAAGCCAAGGGAATCCCAAGACTTAGACTGCTGAAGCAGCCAACCTGTCTGATCTGGAGGAGAAACAAGGAGTCTGGAAGAGACCTGAGCAGGAAAACAATTAAAAATGAAATGAAGAATATTGACAGATCTAGTTTTAACTTACTTATGAGATCAAATGTGTGAACCTTTGAACCAGGGGCTGTCCAAACATGAAATTTAAGGGGGGAAGTAAAGTCCAGTGAGGCGAAGGAACTTGCTATTTAGTGGCAAGACTGATCTCCTGACTCCCAACCCTGTGCTCTCCACCACTCACACCCTCAAGGTGTAGGCGAAAGAAGTCTGCACTTCCCTTCGCAGCACTGCAGTTTGCCTAATTTAAGGGTGGTTCTAGACTTGAGGAGGGCTGCCACAGTTGAAAGAAGGGAAAAATTGTTGGTTTATCAAAGGGCAGGAACCATGTCTTACTCATGTTTCTACCCCTTTCACGCGATCTCCTGGGTGGTAGCCTCCAAATGACTCAAGGAATAGTAAGATCAAGCTGGGGAACGTGCTTAGGGGCTCCCTTTAAGCTGTTTTTCTTGCTAAGGGTATGCTTATATGTGACCTTAGACAAGGTTTCTCAGTGGAGACATTTGAAAGTGTGTGCAGAGACAGCTAACTTATTTGCCAGGCAAATGGCAAACAACTCACAGGGATTTACCACCAACAGAATTTAGTCTACGTCTGGGCAATCATGAAAACTGAGAGAATTTGGAAAAGTAGAATGTGGAGATGGTATACTGAAAACACCCTCAGCGAAGCTTAGTGGCCAAGTTGGGCATGACTAACTCAGTAGCCAAGAACTCTTAGAAGCCAGAAGTGCACTCCTAGCAAACGGTGACATCATCCAAATAGATGCACACACCTCCATTTAATAGGACTTGGGCTGAGATCTCGGAAATGTGAGTCTTATTCAAAACGATTTTATAAACAACAACATTATCCACAGGAATTGTGGTATAAATGGGGATTAAACTCTAAAGGAGCTCCCCTCAAATCACCTATCAAGCTCCAAAATGAAGACCAAGTTAAAATAATTCTTGGGAGTAAACAAAGTACATCAAAAAAAGCAAATCCTTTTTTTTTTTTATTGTGGTAAAAGACAGAGAACAAAATTTACCATCTTAACCACCTGTAAGTGTCAGTTCAGTAGTGGGAAGTACATTCCCATTGTTGTGCAACTCTTTTTATCTTGTGAAGTTGAAGCTCTATACCCCTAACACAACAATTCTTCATTCCCCTTTCCTTCCAGCCCCTGGCAAACACCCTTCTACTTTCTATATCTATTAATTTGACTACTCTACGTGTCTCATATAAGTGGAATCATGCAATATTTGTCTTTT